AAGACCTTCTACCTCATCGGCGGTGTTTGGCACAGGTTAGGTCGCTGCCTTAGTGGGACATTCTCCTGGGGTTTGGGGTTTTGTTGCACTCCCCTCGGAAGGTATTCGCTCCGGGATGAGTGCGAAACTGAGATCTTGCTTAATGTCAGGGCTGCTTCCCTCAGTAACCAAAAAAGAAACCAATTCCATTTTGCAGAATTAAGAGTACTTTTACTGGTCATGAGTAGATAGTAGCTAGGCAAAGCAAGATCTGAGGCAAAAGCGCATGTAATCATAGATATCAATATGTAACCCAGCCCCCTCCACTTGGTAACCCCATCCCATAGTCCAGTGCGTACACCCCACGGGTGTCATGTGGGAGACATATTCAAGAAGCATCATCAGGTCGGTATGCCGGACAGTTCGCCTTGGCAGCAACTCCTCTATCTGCAGCATGCGCAGTGGATGGTGAGAACAACTCCCTTTTGACAGTCACTCCTGCACTGAACACTTCCCCCACCCAAATACCATGCCCCCCCCTCCCTGTTTCATTGGCAGCCGAAAGCAAGCAGCAAAACAGAGGCTGACATCAGTTTTCTGGAAACCACCACATCCACCTTCTGCCTTCAGTTGTCTAGATTCAATTCTCAAATATTCAGGAAAAAAAACACCCCACTTTCACTGGGAGTTGAAACCTATCTAGATTGTACCCAGATTAGGGAATATTTGCATGATAGCAATAGCACTTAAAGTTATATACCGCTTTACAGCCCTCTCTAAGCAGTTTATAGAGTCAGCATGTTGCCCCCAACAATTTGGATCTTTATTTTACTGACCTCGGAAGATTGGAAGGCTGAGTCGACCTTGTTATGATATAAATGATGACCACGTGATGTAAAATTAAGCAAGTATTTTCAGCATTTTAGAAGTGTCGATTATAAGCAGCCATTCATTCATCATGCAACCAACTATTCATCAAAAGAAGAACTCTATAGCCACTGGTTTTTTTTCTTTTTCTTAGATCTTTAATGTGATGTATTTGACTAAAGGGAAACATTATTCTCTTTCAGTTTCAGCAACTCCCAGTTCGTCTCTGCCTAAGCGAGGACGAGAGGAAGAAGAAGAGAATAATGTTGAAAACTCAGAACAGATTCCCGAGGAAATGGTTGATCTGCCTCTTGCAAAGAAACTGAGAACTGTGCAGAGAGTTGGGCCAGAGGTTTGTAAGGGGAATTACTGGGTTATGAGCATCTCAAGCGGGGAAATGCAGTCTTAGATATTGGCTTTCAACCATTTTGAATATCAGACTGTATTAATTGATCATGTCATTTCCTTTTGCGACCTTCTGACAAGCAGAGTCAGTGGAGAAGCCAGATCATTTAACAAACAAGTTAGTAACTTAACAGCTGCAGTGATTAACACTGTGGCAAGAATGGTCCTAAAATGGGGCAGAACTCACTTTTCTGCTTAGCAACAGCAATTTTGGGTTCATTTGTGGTTCATAGGTCAAGGGACTACCTCTATAAGCATAATCTTTATTGTCATTGTACTTAAATAAACGAAATTGGCTACCGTGTTTCTCATTAAAATTGTCTTACATATTCATTTGTCAGATATCAAGTGTCAAGTAATAAAGTGATTGCAGATTTAAGTGATCTGTATAATTTTTAATAATTAAACATTTTTAATATTGACCATGTTATTTAAAACTTAAAAAGGTTTGACTTTGGTATTCATGGATCAGTAACAATATTAACTAAGGTTTGCAAATTATCACAGTTACAGTAGAAGCCTCTACTGTAAAATACTGTGTTTTTGATGTGCAGTGTACATGATCTTAATATTTCCCCAATTAACGTCATTCATTTCTATATTTCAGGAGGAAGTGACTGCAGAAGAGAGCACGGACCGAGAAATAGAGGCTCAGGCTTACAATCAGGATTCGCAGGATTCCATTGACGAAGTAAGTTCCTGATTGCAGGAACAATTTCCACGTCTTATTTGTCTGTTGTAGCAGCATCCAGAAATACCCATGTGAATGAATTAGGGTTGCTTAACAATTTTTCCCTCCAGCAATGGTGTCCATAGCTCCTCCAATCCTCATATAATTTTTATTATAAGAGGATTTTACATGGGCCTTTTAAAAATATCCCCTAATACTCGTGCAGGACAGGAGGTGCTACCAGAAGACTGTATCAAAGCAGCGTATATGTGTGTATGCATATATACATGATACGTTTGCATATAATACTGTACTTCTCAGCCTTTTACTCAAGTACAGCCGTGACCCGTCAAAACCGCGCTCGACTAAACCGCGTCGCTGACGTCATCAACAGGGCGACAACAGCCAGCGCGGAGAAAGAAGGGCGCTTTAAATAGCGCTTTGAAAGCAAGCCGATTCAACTTAGGGTAAGGTTAAGGGTTAGGTTAAGGGTTAGGTTAAGGGTTAGGGTTAGGTTAAGGGTTAGGGTTAGGTTAAGG